CCTTGGCTCTGTACTGCAATTAGTCGTGATCACAATAGATCAGTCAACGGTCGCAGTGATGAGGGGATGCATAGGCCCTGAATAAAGCCACCCTAATAATAATAATAATAATTAATTTATTAATTAATTAATTTTTTAGGCCTTGGGAGAGGCGAGAGTTTAAAATAAATACGATAATAATAATAATATTGGTGATGTAGGTTTCTTGACCTTTTTACATCAGCGGATTTTATGTATGTAAAAAAATGCGAAAAATGTACATCACCACTGAATCTATGATTTTGTGATATTTATTAACAAAAGAACCAATCTGTATATAAACAATCAATCAATGGTTTGCTTAATAGATGTGGAATTTTATCAGTTATATTTTAGAAACTATACTACTAATAATACTAAATCCAAATATTTATTTAGATTTCTGTGGGTAAGCTGCGTTTTCGGCTAACAGTCTGTTTCTGGAAGGTTTGCACATTATTCCAGGGTTTCTTTTAGGTCATGTCACCACTCGAACATCTGCAATGAATATCAGCATTGATGAATGTGGATGTGCTTATTTTAATTCAAGCAGATTGTTAACGGATGCTGGTGCTGATATTTGCAATATGCTATGATATGATATGCTGTAGACTTTATTTTTATTATTATGTATATGCCTCATTTTTACTCAGTGGCATTTAAAACTTTTTGCTATTTGACTGACAATATTTTCTTTCTTTGCAGGTCACACTAAACATGAGATGACATCATATTCTTGTATGGAATCAGTTTTCAAGTACTTTGACAGCAAGCTTCAAAAAGAGTCATCATGAGAAATTAATTACTAATATGATAAATATATCTTTTAAAAATAAAATACTAATATGATTTTAAATATATATTTTACATTGTATGTATTTATCACTTCTTTCCTTTTGAGTAGTGCTTCATCCAGTACTTAATATCTTGTTTGTTAGCCCTTACTCCTAGCACTGCTGATTTTGAGTTTACATCCCTCATTGAAAATGGAGACAATCCAGCAATGTAATCAGGGTCTAAAGCATTAGTTTTGCTTCTACCTATTTTAGTGGCAAATCTCTTATGTATATGCTGATCTTCGCTTAAAATAGGGTATTGGAAATGCTGACCTCCTCTTGGAGTAGGCAGACTGAACCTTTTGCCCCTAGCTGTTAATGGTTTTTTCCCATTTATATGAATATGTTGATTTCCATCGTCATCAATGCTGACGGCTACCTTTTTCAATGTTGCATGTCCACATTTAGGACAGAATAATTTTGTCATTACACTAGTGGTTTTGAAACATGTTGTGCATCGAAAAATAAATGTGCGTAGCTGCCTTATGATTCTACCATCAATTGATGTTATGTTCAAACCAATCTGTTTCAGAACATTCTGCATGGCAAAATCTGATGTTATACAGGCAACTTCTGCAGGTTTTGCTTCAAATTCACCTGTATCAACTTCTTTTTTCTTCTCAGTCAAGTTTTTAGGTGTTATCCAATCTCCACCATCACTGTCTGATTCTTCCTCAGTCTCAGTTTCTTCTTCATCAGATTCTTCTACTTTGACCATTATATCATCAATGTCTTTCAGTTCCATATTTTGTATTTTGTCCGTAATGTCTTTAGCCAGCTGATCACTATCATCAATTTCATTTTTGTTATCTCCATTGTTCACATGTAAAGTATGGACCTCAGCTTCTGGCTTTTCTCCTTCAACCTCTGGAGATAGAATATCCTCTTTGTTGTTACAATTCTCTTCAATTCGGGGTTTCCTTTCCTCCATTTCCTTACTGTCATTTGATACAGGTAGCGAATCTACGCCTTTATTTTCAGCAGGATGAAGATTGAAATTGGTCAAACCAGTAATTTTAATGGTCTTCTGCATAGAAGGCTCATTCTTCAAGTGCTTAGTACCAACTTTTTCTATCTCTAACTGATAAGTTAATGCCATAACCTTAATATCTGTAGCAGACAAACTTGTATAGTCTCCAGTCTTTTTCGCGAACTCAGTGACGAATTTGATATTTTCTTGGAAAACATCTTTCACTTTTAGGTCGTACGGGAGCACCACTAGCTTTCTTCGTTGCCGATCGTTGGTAATTTCATCGCAAACCTCTTGAACAGTGTAAATGTTCTCAGCAATATCTTGCAAATTTGCCGCTTTAATAAACGCCGTTGTATCCACGACTAAATGTTTGATATTTTTGGGCATATTGCCGCTGGAATTAACGAGAAAATTCTGAGCAAAGCACACACCACACGTGAATTATTATTCTACGGAATTGACCATAGACCATACTCAAATATAGAGTGTATGATCTATGGATCAACACATTGACATTGACTTTTTTTTAATAATATTTATGGCCTGGGGTCTACATCTTTTATTTTCTTTCCAACCTCTAAGGGGTCTACTCTCGGTCTCCGTCCGAAACAATTACTGCCAAATAAGCAATACTTGACCAAATGAAAAGACGCGTGATACGAATGAATACTGGAAACTTGCCTTTTAATTTTGTCGAATATTACTTATTTGACAATAATAAATTGTTTCGGACAGAGATCAAGAGTAGACCCTACGGCTACATGACCAGAGAGCCACTGCACTACCATTAGCTTGCCCACTAGGCCACTATAGACAAAACAACGTGTCTGAAAGTTATCCAAAATCGATTGAAGACGTTTTACAATGGAATCCAAAAAAGAAAAATTACTGTTTTGGCTGTATTGCGCTGCCTTTGCCTTTTTCAATGGAAAAAAAAACAGTATCGAAAAAAAAAATTACTTTAATCACTATTATTCTAGTATTAGTGATTTGTGACTATTATAAAATGGAATGAATAGGTATTTCGTAACAGCTTTTGTAAAACATTTTTTACGTTCGATACCTGTGTTGTTTTAATCCAACTATAAAGTATTAGTATATAATAATAGTCATATTTTGCTCAGTCGTAGAAAAACATAAAATCGTTACTTTATTTTGACTTGCAGTAAAATAATCTCTCTGACATACAACACTATTACTTAAAAAAAAGTTGATTTTTCGCCCGATTTTGCTCAAGTAAACATTATTTCTGTTATAATTTGTAAATGATTTACTTATTAACCGTTTGGACCTCTAATTATAAAAAATGAGTTCTAAAAAAGGCAGAAAATCGAAACATTTTCCTATCGCGGAATCTGTGAGCATTGCTTTGAAGATCCAGTTGGATAAATTCCTCAGCGACGATAATGAGACTGAGTTGAAGTTTCCTACTTTCCTTTCGGCTCAAGAGCGTGGCTTTATCCATGAAACCGTTGCCAAATTAGGGCTGAAGTCCATATCGCGCGGGAAAGGTAATTTTCTTTTTGTATCCAATTTTTACATGAAATGTCCGTGCTAATTTTATTACAATTGTCAACATTTCTCTCAACTCCCTCGATTATCCCTTTGCGTGAAATGCAATATTTTTTTATTTTCAATATATTGCACAACATATGCAATCTAACCACAATGAGTTCAGTCTTCAAAATTGTCTTATATACTTATTACACTCAAGTTCACTACTTACAAATATAAACACACTATAATATGTATGGATATTGGACAATCTCATCAACTCAATTAGAAAAGGGATAGAGAGCCAACTAAGACCAGGGTATTATCCCGATGGAACATCCCTTATAATATTCTGACTCTTTTATAATGATCTTGAAGTTGAAAAATATAATTGAATGTAGAGGAGACCAGAAATCTCCACTAGTTATATTTTCCCCCTCTCCTCTAATTTTTTTTCCAACAAGTTTGAATTACATTTTCAGGTGTAAATCGCTTTTTAACAATTTACAAGCGTTCGGGTTCCACAATTATTCAGAATGATGCCAAACTGATCTTGGACTCAAATATGAGGTGAGATTCTTCACTATTTATGTTTCAGTCTGTATTGTATGCTTTCAAATTTCATGAATAAAAAGTTTTTGGTGGCCCTAAATAGTAAATAATTATCGAGTTCTTAGGTTTTCGCGATTGTTGTTGCGACGGTTGACTGTCAACCGTGACCATGGGACCTGTAAAGGGCCCGAAACGTCGGTTTGTTTGAAAAAACAAATATACGCGATTTAAATCCGGAAAAATAGTTTCATTTCCTATAGTAAATAATTGTCAAATAAAATTGTGCCATTATTATTATTATTAATGTGGCTTCATTTGGGGCATACGTAGCCCCTCATCACTGCGACCATCAGCTGATGAAATTGTGCCATACAGTCAAGCTGATTTCCTGATCTTCAACTACGTAGTTAAATTTAAAAAATGTGGTTGAAATCAAATCATTTTATTCATCATCATGGGTGTACAATAAAAATGTTATTATGCATTATTTTATCATCGCCATGACATACTATCAAGGTGTATCGTACAAGTCACTGCAACATATATATTAAGTTTATTATTGTATTCCTCAGATGCACAATTGCAGAGCTATTCAATGCGTTCCCAATCACCAGCAAAGAGAAAGATGACCTCAGCAGTTGCCCGGAGAAGGAACGAAGTCCACAACTAGTGCACAAGTCCTTGGGGCAATTGAGCAATGGAGTTGCACAGGTGATATTTTTCAAGATATTTACTATACCCATTACACAATATATTTTTTTTTGTACGGTCCTCATTTTAATGAGCTAATGAATTAAATTAATGAAAGCCATAAAATAAAAATCCAAAACTGATTATATATATATTTAGACATATAATCATTGACTTACAATTATATGGACGTCGGGTCCGCGCTAAAAAGTGTCCGCACTTGTAAGGCGCTAAAATCGTATACAGAGTGCGACACTCCGCTTTAGTCTTCATTTGTTCTACGGACAGCGCGATACTGCGATGACATAACAATTTAAATTTCGAATAGGTTGACTTGGGACATTTTTTTTCGTGGTTTTTGTATTAGACCCGTCGTCCATTTATTTGTAAGTCAATGCATATAATAATTATTTTATATTAGAATGCATGTTATGCTATTTTCATAAAAAATATTTAATTATCAGATTAATTAATAAAACTAAAATAGAAATATAAGTTAAGAAAACTAACAAATTAGTCTACAAATAAGAATTAAGTAAAAACAAATTATAATCATAACATTATTTTTTAAATTTCAAACAGCTTTGTTTTGTTAATAGAGAATTGTCACTTTTTATACAATTTTTATTCAAAATGTTCTCAAATGTGGAAACAAATGAATTGGAGTAAAATTGCTACTGCTTTGTGCTCTTTGCGGAAGAGAGCGAATCGATCATAGATTTTTTATGTTATTTTGCTTTTCAGTATTGTTTTTATTTTGAAATACATAATACGTATACAATTTGTTAATTTCCTTAACTACCTAGAATAACTGATGACTAAATATGTCCCTACAAAATGTATGTTAAAAAGTTTTTTGCGATTTCTGACATTTCGAGTACTCTTATCTTAGTTGGTCCCATAGAGACTATTGATCCTTACCAGAGACCGGATCGAATGGCATAAAAAAAGTTTTGTACAAATTGCCTTTTGCTGAATGTACCATTTTTTGAAAATCTGTGAATGCCTTCAAAATTCATGGATAGTCTTCTCGAGCCGTTTTCCTGTGACTACAACGATTAAGATATCTGGCCTTGCTGCCCTGTCTCAAATTTACACCCTGTATAGTTGACCACTATACGCCTAAATAGAATCCTCACTCATTCACCCACAATACATTTTTTCGCAGCCATGGACCCCTTTCGACCCTATATATACCATTTTGAGCATAATCAATCTACACTGACAGTGAATGAAAATGAGTGTACATTTTCATAACATAGTCATCGCATTATGGTAATGGTGGTGGCATTCATAAGGTGATCATGTGTCAACCACAGTTATGCACCATAACAAATTTGAATTAGATTGAGCAGTCTGTAGTTAAATGGTCTGTTTCAGGTGCCAAATACAACATATAATCCAGAATTGTTAAAGTTCAGGGAAAAGCTTCCAGTGTATGAACAGAGGCAGGAGTTGATTAATGCTATCACTCAGAATCAGGTAAGATGGCAGATAAAATCTAGACATAGACAATAATATCAGTTACAATGATCTCTACAGTGTATATATAACAGCAAATTTTTTTTAAATTTCGAGTCTAAAATGAGGATAATCTAAAATTTCACAATTTTTTTGCATTTTTGAGACTCGACACTGATGTTTTCAGTCTCGGTAATATCGAGACATTTGAGACTAAATCATTTCATTATGAAATAAATAACGCACACAACAGTCCAACACTAGGGAAACCCTGTATCGCGGGTGTCATGATCACATACAGATATCTATGGATATATCGATGATCTATCGATAAACTGTCGCCAACAACCACATGACTTGCAAATGTAATTTTACTCCGTCTTCAAAGAAGACAGACTATACATTTGTCGATTTTCTTTTGCCCATATCATAATGTTATAATGCGCATATTTCGAAAGTTGTGTCACTAACTAAAGCGACTCAAGCGCTCTGGACCTTATATTTCGATTGCTTCCCACTTATTCTGATGATGAGGCACGGACAAGGCAATTGGACATAGCAATTGTTGTGGTCTTAGGTAATAATCGTGGCCGGCGCAACAGGCTGCGGCAAGACTACGCAGCTGCCACAGCTGGTGCTGGATCACTGCCAGGAGCGCAAGCTGCCAGCGCGCATTTACTGTACACAGCCAAGAAGGATATCTGCAGTCTCCGTCGCCGAAAGAGTATATTGCTTTATATTCTGATATTTAATTTGTAAATAGAAGCATCTCTAGACAAATATTTTCATTTAAAAACTTGACAACTTAACATAGAATGTTGCTGAACGAAGAAAAAATTTCGCTCTTTCTGTAGTTTTCGTAATCATTTTCCATTTTCCTGCAACTTCTCGCGAAATTTACGCACTTCCTGCAGCATATGCTGAGTTAAGTCCCGTGTTGGCATGACGCTGCAACACAGACCATACCAGACTATCTACTTTGTATGTTTACTTTAATTTTAATTGTATTTATATGTCAAATAATTATTTGTATGTAAACTGTTCTTCTTGTGTGGTTTAGTGTTGTTCTATTGTGGCAATAAAAGTATGTCTATGTCTAAATTGACATAAAAAACCGCGACAGTCGGTGTCAAACCAGTAAATCCCCTGTATTATGAGCACCAGAATAACGAAATTTACTCCAGGCCAACTTAATATCCAGGCCAGAAATTGGCCCTGCCGGGACCTTCAAATATACCGCCTACAATACACATTTTCAATTGCGAAGGTACAAAAACAATTGACAAATATTTGCTTGCAGGTAGCATACGAACGGATGGAAAAAATAGGTCAAACAGTGGGGTACCAGATTCGGTTAGAGTCTCGGGTGTCCCCACGAACAGTACTCACGTACTGCACTAACGGAGTACTGCTGAGGACACTCATGACGGGAGACACCTCTTTGTCAGGTTAGTTGCGGAGAGGCACACCGAATAAACACAAACAAAGACAATATGAATATTCCCAATCAAATTGAACTAGGATTGACTTTCTCAGTCAAATAGTTTGGAATAAAATATTTTGATAAAGTAGATATTTAGAGATTCTAAAAAATGTGTTTACCACTCCCGTAAAGTTAATTTGAAAGTAAATTTAAGGTTAATTAGAGATTGTTTTCTGGAGAGTACATAACAGTTGGTGACTTTAACTTTTGCACCTGACAAAAAATAACTTAACTCGTATAATAACTAAGTTAGGGACGCAATGAAACGCACTAGATACTACTTCCGGGTGGAACTGCACATGTCTCGTTACGAGCGCGTGGTTTATTGCAGGAGAAAATAAGCTCAGAGGAAAGCTTTGAAAGTGGCGGCCAAACATTAGCAGTCTTTTAGGCGAGTTTACAGAGACGCCTGTCGATAACTTAAGGAGGTTGAAGGAGTTTCTTGCGCAGGGGTGTCGCACGTGTTCGTGGACGAGGTGCACGAGCGCGACAAGTTCAGCGACTTCCTGCTGATCGCGCTGCGCGACGCGCTGCCCCGCGCGCCCGACCTCAAGCTCGTGCTCATGTCCGCCACCATGGACACGCACATCTTCTCCAGGTATACGCCGCGCTGGAAGCCGGCTTACTTGTCCCACCGTTTTTAGTATACTGCGTCATTGTCACATGTGTGTTATGGACGCACGCTCGACTGTAATCTTAGCGACGACGCGGTAGACGCGTGGTGGCACCGTCGATTAAACGCGGGCTAAATAAATCTACCCCCGGGCCTGCAATCTGGCACTGCAATTCGGAACGACGACGGAACGATTTGTGCGCGCGAGTACCTATTTTATTTCAATACAATAAGTGGAATGCAGTTCGCTACTTTTATTTTGCTCGATACGCCTTGTACGTGATAGGGCTCTAGTTCCCACTACGCGCTTGGCCCATCCTTGAGTAGCCCCAATTTGTATTTTGCGGGAGATAGCGATGCCGGTAGTGTAATCTATTCTTTTCCACGTAATTATTGGTAATCCCGTATTCCTAGGTACTTCAATAACTGTCCCGTGGTGACGATTCCGGGTCGTCTGTACGAGGTGCAGCGGTACTATCTCGAAGACGTACTCAAGATCACGCAGTACAAGACCAAGAACATGCTGAAGGCCGAAAAAGATTTGAAACACAAGTTGAAGACCGGGCAGAGCTACTGGTCGCATCTTGAAGGTATTGAATTTCATTATTTGTTTTGGTTGTTGACGTAAAACTTGGAGAACAGTAATCGAGCAGCTTAAATTTTAGTTAATTAAAGCCAAAATTTGAAACTATACATTTTCCTATTGTTAGTTTTTAATCTTTTTGCAAATATAAAGGAATGGGGAGAAAAATAATATTTTCATACAGGCATAACGGGCGAAAAATAATATCTAAGAAATATGTCGCGCGTACCTTTATCTGATAATACCGTGCATCATCTAAACGCAAACCGGACTACACGCATTTGATACTATTCTGACAGGTCAAAAGAAATTAGACGAAGGGAGCGGTTCAAGTAGCAGTAAAGATAGAGAAGAGAACGAAAACGCGCTAGATCCCGCACTGCAAGCCGATATGGACGAATTCCTGGAGGAGTGCTTCAAGGAGGGCAGCTTGGTAAGGAAAACGACAATGGAAGGTCTCACCGAGTTAGCATTACGAAATGAACCACGTGCGCTCTGCGGTGCAGGACTCGTTCTGCCAGATCCTGTACATGTACCTGTCGGAGGGCGTGCCGGTGCAGAGCGCGCACAGCGCCTCGGGCCGCACGGGGCTGATGGCCGCGGCGCAGCACGGCCTCACCGAGACCGCCACGCAGATCCTGCAGATCGGTAACCGCTCGTCCCCGCTTGGCTTTTCGCTTCCGCTTTGCTTTTCTGTCGCTGGCTGACCCGCTTCTTCCCCGGCGCAGGTGGCGACGCCGCGGCGAAGGACCGGGACGGCAAGACGGCCTACGACTACGCGGTCGCGGGCGGCCACGCCGAGTGCGCCCGAGTCCTGGCCGCGTTCGACCGCGCTGACGAGGCCAAGGACAAGACCGACGAAGACGACGCGGTCGACGACTTCCTGCTGGACGTCTACCACCACAGCGTATCGGAGGAACTTATTGACCACAACTTGATGCTCGCCCTCATCAAACACATCCACGTCAATCTTCAGAAGGGGTCGATCCTCGTATTCCTTCCCGGTTACGACGACATCGTCACCCTGAGGGACATGATCCAGGGATGCCCCGAGATGAACGTCCACAAGTACCAAATCTTTACGCTTCACAGCAATATGCAAACCATCGATCAAAAAAAAGTGTTCAATCCGTTGCCGAATGCTAGGAAGATTATCATTTCGACCAACATCGCTGAAACTTCGATCACGATCGACGACGTAGTGTACGTCGTGGATTCGTGCAAAGTGAAGGAGAAGTATTACGAGTCGAATGGGGGCGTGTGCTCTCTGCAATGCGTATGGACTTCGAGAGCCTGTTGCCAGCAAAGAGCCGGTCGGGCCGGTAGGACAAAACCTGGGCACTGTTTCCACATGTGCTCAAAACGAAGATTCAAGACGCTACCTCTTAATTCAATACCAGAAATCCTACGCGTCCCGTTGCAGGAGCTCTGCCTTCATACAAAATTGCTAGCTCCGGGAAACACACCTATTGCAGATTTTCTATCGAAAGCACTGGAGCCGCCTTCATTCTTAGCTGTAAGAAATGCCGTGGCGCTATTAAAAACGATCGGAGCCTTGACGCCCATGGAAGACCTAACAGAAATCGGTCAACATTTGCTAGACCTGACAGTGGAACCGAAATTGGGTAAAATGCTGCTCTATGCCTGCGTCATGAAGTGCCTGGATCCAATACTGACAATTGTATGCAGTTTAGCAAACAAGGAACCGTTCCAGATATCTTTGAACCCAGAAAATAGGAAGAGAGGAAGTACAGCAAGAAAGGAATTTGCGGCGGACAGTTACTCAGACCACATGTCGTTGCTTCGAGCTTTCCAAGCTTGGCAAACCGCTCGTGCCAACGGAACTGAAAGAGTTTTCTGTGCCAAAAACCTGATTTGTGGTGCGACCATGGAAATGATTGTAGGTTATCGATCTCAATTGCTTGCTCAGCTTCGAGCTTTGTGCCTTGTCAAAGCGAGAGGATCCGGAGACATTAAGGACGTCAATTTGAACTCTGAGAAATGGCATGTCGTGAAAGCCGTCCTTGTCAGCGGATTGTATCCGTCCATTGCCCGAATAGACAGAGATTCTTGCACATTGAGAACCTCGAAAGAAGTGAAGGTGGCTTTCCACCCCAGTTCAACGTTAAATCGAGGTGGAGGCGCGTCAGGCTCTCATAAGTCAGTGGAGAGCCTTCCTACTGATTGGGTGGTATTTGAAGAGATTTCGCGGGCTGGGAGGTTGTGTTTCATCAGATGCAACACGTTGGTGACTCCATTGACAGTGGCCTTGTTCGGTGGTCCTTTAAGGTTGCCATCCGGAGCACTGACTCAAAGAGCGAATCCTCCAGGATTGTCCAGCGATTCAGACTCAGAAGCTGATGAAAACAATTCCTCTCCAGATACAGCAGTGTTAACCCTCGATGATTGGATGGCATTTACTGCTGATGCTTCTGACGCTATCAGCGTATATTACCTACGTCAGAAGTTATGCGCTTTAGTGATTCGCAGAATGTCGAACCCCGCAAAACCAATGACACCTCTGGATGAACAGATCTTGAACACTGTTGTCCACGTGTTGGGTGCTGAGGAGAAGAACGTCGGTCTTAATCAACCCAGTGGAATCGGTCAGCGACCGAAACCATTAACTCTCGATTCTGCCAACTGGAGGATGAGGGTCGATGATGATCAGTACAGGAATAATGACAACAAGTACCAAGGTTATCCTCAGTACCAGAATCAGGAGTATGGGAACAATTTTTACCAGAACCAATATTACAGGAATGGACAAGGGAGACCTGGATGGAGGAACGATCAGATGCCTCAAGGTTTTTCTCCATCGTCGTATAGTGGACCTAAAAGCCCGATGTCTCCGAACGGGAAGACGTTGTTGGCGAATATAGAGAAATATGCAGAAAATAATGAGAACAACGTGCGATACTTCGTGGTGAAGACCGATGACATTCACAGCGTGGAAGCCGCGGCGCAGAATAATGGCACTTTCGCGTTCTCGCCGAATACGGCCAAGAAATTGCAGAAGGTTAAACAGGTTGGTGAAATATTTTTTTTTGCGTTTTATTACTATTTATATCTTATTTTCACGGTTTTTGACATCTATAATATCGCCCACATTAACTTAATTCCTTCATTTGTAAAACGATCAAATCGATAATTCAACAAGAAACAATCTAGTTGTTACCATCATACCTTAAAAGACAGATTTTCTGTCCTCATCTGAGATGGGCAGTGGGTTAAAACCCAATCAAGCCGCCCGGGTTTTGACCGAGTTTTTACACTACATATCTGCCCAAAATTGTTGGCAGGCCACACTTACTACAATTTTCGATGTAAAAAATTTTTTTAGACGAAAAAGGCAAGTCCACGCAATACTCAACATTACGTTTCGATTTTTATGAAAATCGATTCAAGTTCATGCGATCCAACTATTTTTTGCATCAATTTATTTCAATGCGATTCGTCTAGATCAGAAAGCAATAAACTTTTGTAATAATATCATTAAATTTGAACAAAACTCGATTTACAACGCGTATTTAGTTGTAAATAGTTTTTGCATTTGATTTTAGGCGTCAGTGGGTAAAACCATAAGCAAACCATAACCAAATAAGCGCGCGCTATTGGCTATCTAAATTAGATCTGATTGTGACAGCCAATAGCGCGCGCTTATTCCAATTTTGTCGCGCGAGTTGCCACTATCATGAATAGCCATGCTACGGGCCTGGTTTATGAAATAAAAATACGTAGTGTAAAAAGATTTAATAACTACGTATTTTTATTTAATAAACCAGATGCTATGTAAATGACGCAATCAATTTTTTTCTTCGTCCTGTAAAATTGTCAAAATTGAGATAGTACCGATTGCCAGTTCACAGTCGATAGCATCTGGTTAAAAGTTAGTACAAGTTGAATGAAGTCGATCCTGGCGTCAAAATGAAATATATCAGCCACCGTAGCATGGCTACGCATGATAGTCGCGACGCGCGCGATAAAATTTAAATAAGCGCGCGCTATGGGCTGTCTCAATCAGATCTAATTTAAATAGCCAATAGGGCGCTTATTTCAGTTTTATCGCGCGCGTCACGACTATCATGCGTAGCCATGCTACGGGGGCTGAGATAGAATTTCTTGCAACGCTGCGGAGTATGTAATAATATAAAATGGTATTAAAAAGTAAAATATTTGCAAAATTGAGATAGTGCCGGTTGCCAGTTCACAGTCGAAATAGCATCACGTATTGCTTTATTATATCGCGAATCGCCGTGCAGGAGGGCCACCGCGTGGTGCTGTTCTTCTCGTGCGCGGCCTCGTCCAAGTTCGTGGGCTGCGCGTCGTTGCTGGACCCCAACGGCACCCTGGACTGGGCGCACGCCCACCAGCTGCCCTTCCACATGGTGCGGTGAGTGCGCTTGCCTCTTACTGTTTGACACGTTACCATACCATTATTCATTCTGTAATTGACCTCCGCCCCCTTCCATGCTTTAAGGCATGAACGGGTGAGTGGTATCCACCCGATTCCTTTTGATGACATTACAGGCATATGGGTCTTCAGATCTTTGTGATTTAAAGCTCTAAGTAGTTTTAGAACTGTTTTGGACAGGCGTGTCGCTTAACATCAGGCGCACGACATGTTCGTCCCGTCATTTGGTATTATAAAAAAAAATTTGGCTCTTGCTAAAAAAATTGCCTTGTTTGCAGACACATATCAAACTCCCTGGCTGGGGGGGCACGCATCGCAGGTGCGAGAGACGGAACGGAATTGTGTCCGGCATCCGGACGGGCGTTGTACGCGGCTTTGCAGCAGCACACGCGGCGGCGACCGCACCAACATCCGCATTCACATCCACGACCAATACAAAAACAAAACCCCGACCAATAGGTATCTTATCTAATCTTATAACAGTGGGGTGGGTTTGAAATAGCGTCCTTTGTCCTTGTGACTTCTTCCTATCCATCCCGTAGATTAAGTAACGAACGCATCTTTAAAGATGAACCTGTGTTAAGCTTTACTGGGCCAGAAATGTGATTAACAACCGTTTGTAAACAACCCTACTGACGGGCTCCGATTGGTCGAAATTATATTTGAATTGAAGGTCATTGGTTGGTACTTTTTTCTGTTGCTCTCTGATTGGTCAGCGCAAAAAATAAGCAGAAAAATTGTCGAACTCAATGGCCCGTAAGGCTGCATTTAAAGAGCCCAATTCACAACACAGTCCAATGTGCAATATCAACAGTTCAGTGCGGCCCAAAACGTTTATGGTACGTAGCACATATGTATATATTATATATCTATATATACATAATATGTACTTCAGCCTTGATTGTGGAAAAACCACACCCAGAAGACTTTTCGACCAGTAGATAAATCTAAACGTTGTTTTCTATAGAGACTAAATATTAAACATATTAATATTTATATATACGTTCTATATGTATTTATTATTATTGAGATGAGTAGAGTATTTATTTGAAACGCTTTCATTACAAGATATTCTTTGGTTGCACCCTTTCCAACTCTTAAATTTCTATCCTAAAATTACCTGGAAGCAATTGCTACTTAGTAAAAAGCCCGCCTGTTGTACATTGGCTTACTCTGTGATACTTACATTACTATTCTGTGTTATCGTTGTTATTTTAATGTGCAATAAAGAATATTGCATTCATTCATGATACATAGTAATTTGAAAAATACCAATATCGTTATCAGAGTGCACTTTTAACATATGTACTTAAAAAATTTAGCAATTCTTAAATAACTAAAGTTGTCAGAATTAAGAACTGGTACAGTCATAATCATTTTTTTATATTACCCGAAATCAAATGGCGACGAATGCCATAGTATAATAACCCGGTAGTGTAACCAGGGCTCGGTGACTCGCCGTACCGACGTCGGCACATGCGCTCATACAAGTCATTTAGCATTCGGCTCCGCACGACTACACACGGAGGGCGACGTTATTTTCACCTCTCTGACCGCGTGCTTAGGTTCCTTTTTCCTATTAGTCAGATTTAGTAGGCTATTGTACCGTAGGTGTATTTTCGATTTTATATATGAGAGTGATGTATCTGTTAGGTAATAACTAATAAGTGGTGTAACTCTCGCCTGTTCGGCGTATTAATGCCTACACTTCGTTTGGAGTGTAGGTAGGGTTGTCACATTATTATTTTAGTTGTACATACCTTCTTTTTTTTTTTTTTTTTTTTTTTTGTCGGGGGGGAAATCTTTATGGATACCCCTGAGCCCAGGGAGACTCAGGGGTTATGTGGGACTCTCCCTCCACACTGGAAGGCCTACCCCACTAAAACCCCCCCGGGTTTCCCTCTCGCCGGTTGAGTTAGTTGTACATACCTACAGGTTGTAAAGATAATTTATCTATTTATATTCAATAGTACATGTAGGCTCACAGAGCTCATCCAAAAGACCCACAAGCTTAAATGAACATTAACATACAATGATATGAAATTAAGGTAGAATTAAAATTACTAATACATTTAAAAAAATGTAATTAAATTCCTGTACGTAAAAAGAAGGCATTTAAAAGCATATTCGCCTTCTTAAGAAGTCGTCCAAAGGAATCGGCTAATAGGTCGAAGAGCGTGAGCGCGTGCGCCGGTGCGGGGCCACCATCCCAGCTTCGTCCATTTGAAAAACCATTAAGTATTTATCAGTATCTATTTATTTTTTCGTGCTATTTTGAAATCACCTGTGTTAAGTGCAGTGGGTACTCACATCTTGCTATTTTTATATCGGCATCTCGGGTTGGTATCTTCGTTATGGCCCATGGTTATATAATCATACTCCCATAGGTTATGGGATATGAAATAATCAACTATAAACACAACACGTCTAGTATTTCATGTCATTTTATAAAAACACCGAGCGAACCATTTAATTCTACAATAAATGGCGCTTGAGATGACTCGCGCTTTGGAATGCGAGTGCACTCCGAAGTTACGCGAATGTGATCGTCCGTACACGGCGAGTCGCGGGCGTGTACACATACAAGCCGCACTGGCGCGTTAGTATGGAGTTACACGTAGAGGACATGGTTACACTGCTTGTCTTGTTATACTAAGACTCTACACACACGACGCTTTTCTCGTAGACACACGCGTCTGTTGGCAACTTCAAATGAGATGTGGAGTTCGTATTGTGTTTTACGTAAATCGACGTTTACCGGTTTATTAAGTATTTACTACTAGAAAATAATATATATTTATAAATAATTAACATTTTTATACTTCACTGTTCCTGTAATATGACTTTAGCAGATTCTTTTTTAGGACTCCTGAAAAAAAAACTTTTTTCATAAATCGAATGTGAATTGAAATGTCTAGACTGATAATAAAATAGACATAATATAAATGTCCAAGTTTTGTATCGTGCAGCAACATACTGCCCTTCGCTATGTCACCTATGGGTGTAAAGAAATTGTTTTAAAATTATAAGTGTTAACTGGTAGTAATTATTTCAATTGTATACATCAAAGCAGGGTTCGAAGTAATAAGTATAATTATAATTTATCTTGATATATACCTTGATATTTACAAAATTAATTAGAATAACAAAAAATTACCGGTAGCTATGTCTTGCCATGTGTTTGTATCAGAGACGTATACAACGGTGTCAGTCAATCTCAAAAACAGTCACAAACCAAACGTTATCCCAGATTTTTCTACATGTTTATTTAATACACGAAACTATGAGGCGTGCTTTATTCCAGCGTGATCAGAGTTCATGAAATTTGGCTAACCAGAAGAAAGTCGCTATTTATTCGGTTCTAGTCGCAAAAAACGGTTTTGCCGGTCAGCGGTTCAAAAGTTATAAGGGTGTTTTACTGTTCAAATTAGACTCTAAACATTCAATAGATAATTAAAATATTTATTTATTACACTCTATCAATTCAAAATTATTTTAATCACCAGGAATACGACATCTTGCGTGATCTCACAAGGAATAGAGCGGTGTCGCGGGTCTTTCTTAGATACACATTTTTCATTACGATTTTTCTACGTAAATGTACCTATCAATGAAAATAATTGAATATTCAATATCTTCAAAACGAAGGAGCCACTAATTCTAAAATTTCGCAATTAGAACCCACTAATGCACGAATTTTTCTAGGTGCAATTAGATCTAAGCTAGGAGCTGTGGTTCGTGAGATTCAAATGTCGTGGGATTATATTATTATATAGATAGATTATATAGATAACTTCAAAATGGCGTAACGACTAAATCTAGTTTTGTATAGAACCATAGAAACATACATAGTCTAAGCTAGGTTTTGTGGTTCTCGAAATTGAGAAATGGTCGTGTTGGAAAGAAGGAAACTCCCTTACACCGTAAAACACCCTTATAACTTTTGAACGGCGGATCGACTAAATCTAGTTTTTTGCGACTAGAACCGACTAAAAAGGGTTTTTTTTTCTGGATAGTCTCATTTCAAAAACTCGACTATGGCCACTCTGCAATAAACCACGCAACTATGAATCGTCATGGATAATTTTCATGATAATTATCAAAAAACAAATCTTTTTAATTTCGAACCCTGCTACTAAGGCCCGTATTAATAAACAGTCCCTTAGTTCTGTTCGTGCATATTAAGCTGCCGCTTTACCAATGAGTAGAAGAATTGAATCAGCTTTTTACTCGTGGCCCCACCAATTTGTCATACTACCTCAAATTTCGTGACTAGAACCGAGTAAATCACGACTTTTTCTGGGTGCAAGCGGATTTAAGCTAGGAGCTATGGTTCTTGAGATTCAAAAATGGTGTCGCCGAAATAAGGTTATTTCAGCGTGGACAGTAAAACACCTTAATAACTTTAAAACGACGTAGCGACTAAATTTATTTATTTTACGACTAGAACCGAGTAAATCACGCGTTTTTTTAGTGCATATCAAAGCTAGGTTCTAGGTTCTCTCGAGATTGAGAAATGGTGCCGCTGAAATAAGCTTATTCCGGCGTGGACAGTAAAACATCCTTATAATGGCGAACCGACGAAATTTAGTTTTTTGCGACTAGAACACACTATATGGCGACTTTTTATCTGACTACTATTCTTAAAGTAATTCATCCAAGTAAACACCCGTGATAAGAAATTTAAAATAAATAGAAACTTTTCTCTTGAATAATCACTCTTAATAAGATACAAATTTGAGAAAGTAATGCATCGATGTTACAGGAAAGAAAGACCGATAAGTCGGCAATAGAGAAATTCGAAACATGGTTCAGAGAATTTGTTAATTTAAGCCGGGTTTTCGTTAAGTAACAAATGTTCGCCGAACGCGTCGTCAACGAGGTCTGATGGTCTTAGACGACCAGATAGAAGTCTGGAAAAATTAGACCTATTAGCAAATAGACGATTGACATGTCAACTTAGATTGGTCTATCATCTTATTGATAAACTTTCCTATTGCCGCCTTACGGCTTATCACAAAATGCCAAGAGAAAGTGAAAGGTATCTCGTAATTTTTAAAAGACCTAACTGCTGGTTGTTCGTGATCTTATATCGTTTCTCTCCCGGCCAAATGACTAAATAAATACAGGTGACTTAATCATCATCCAAGAAATAGAATACGTTTTCACATTTATTTTAGTGTCACTCACTAAAATATTGAGTAGTTCCAATTTGAAATTGTGAATCGCAATTACGCTCGGAAGATACGCAGTTTCCGATCGGGAGAGGCAATCAAAATCAAGCTGCAGATCTAATAACACACCATTCAAATAAAGTAGTAAATAACGAATAATTTGTCCAGGTAATGATAACCGAGAGTGCGCGTGCGACTAAATGACCTTCCGATTGATTTTGGTTTGTATAAGGCAGCGAAGCCAGAGTCCTCGAATCGATAATTACGTTTCGTTACCAAAAAAGTTAAAATTTTGCTGCAAATGATTTTGAAGATAATTTTGTATTTCGATACCTAATGTTATGAAAAAATTTGGTTAGTGAAAAGTCATCAAATTTAGTGTAGAATGATCGGTAGTTACGAATGTACGAAAAATGATACGTCAGTATATGAGGAGAGGGGCGATTGTAATCAAACTTTAATTCACAGTATTTTTTAAACCAAGAGTCTCCCATCAATATAAATGTTATTTATTAAACGTTTTTTGATGATGTATTTTAAAATGAATTTTGTCACCACTTGTTTTTAGTTTGATAAGTTTTTGTAGCTTTTTGTTTTCAAAGTATCTCTTAAATTATTGTGGTTTAATTAATTTTGGCTGTTAGAAGTATGTCATTCATTTAAGGTCAAAATTAATCATAATTTTGCGTTAATAAAATTTGTAGGAGTTACATTTTCGGTCTGTAAACTAAATGTATGACGATTAGCATAAGTTATTTTTGTTGTTTGGTTTAATTTTCAGGTTTCAGTATGCGCAAGCGCATCTATAGATTCTAGTTTTAATTTGCAGTCCAACAAGTGAATTGCTTTCACATTTTGGTTGGATCACACTAGGTCCCACGCTTTTAGTATGCGCAAGTGCATCGTGCGTTACAATCTTTATTTATTGTCCAACAAGTGACATTTTACTACATAAGTCAACAGTCTGTCTGCTATTTATATCGTAGTTATTTAATTTACGGACCACAAATTAACATTGGTATTTTATTATGTAACCATTTTGATTTCACAAAATGGAGTGTGCTCATGTTCTCGTGTACATATTGAATGATTGTTTGATTTTAGAAGCTTTTAGTTCAACTAAGTTTATTTTGTGTGATCGCATACGTTTGTTATTAGCATCCTAGTTCATCGTCAGTATTTAATTTAACAACTTAACACGTACTACTGGAAATCGTGTTCTCTGCAGAAGTAAGTAACTACTATACGAGCTGGTTAGGAAAGACGGTGTATTTAAAAAGTCTGCATCAAAATTATTTCCTGAAAAGTGTATCTTATCACATAACATAACGTCAAAATTTGCCGTTTGAAAAGTGATAGTTTGTGTACTTTCGACCGATGTGTTAAAAGAACTACTGAGAATTTACCTTCTTTTACAATGTAACTCGCATATACATATATATTTAAAAATTGTATAATATATAACAGTCTATACCTATTTACATAAAAAAGCATTGAGGCCATTTTATTGTGCCGCTCGCACTATTGGTTGGTTCGTCCAGAAACGATCTGATAATGATGATACGCGTATCAAATTAAGTTGGAGGTATTTTTCATTGGTAATTGCTTTAATTTGCTTCTAGGACCAATTTATAGTGAGCCGAAATATATAAACAGAATATCATATCACACCTTCAATAACAAAGTGACCAAATTCCGAAAGTAACTTTTGTGTAAACTGACAAAATGGATTAAAAAAATAACATTAGTGTCACCGCATACTGGTGACAAATTTGACATTTGATATGAAACACAATACACATATCGTGACTCAATATTTCGTATGATTGGAAATTTAGTGAAATATTTCTTTTTTTTCTAATAAATAAATAGCTAAATTGGAACTTCATCAAAATCCATTCCATTTTTTTTAACATAAATTTCCGAATGCATTTTTTTCTTGGCCTGTTTCCTAAATGTTTTTTTCCGATTTTCGTCACTATGTAATTTAAGGGTGCAATACAAACAATGTTGTATAGAAGTCGGAATACATTGTCTTCTGCCTTCTGCTCGTGCTGCATTTACCATTAAATATTTGTGTGTTTGGTACGGAACCAACCAGTGCTTCTATAGTACTTCTAGAGTCTATATAAGCTTTCAGCTGTCTGTTGTTCAAAACTAGATTTAGTTAGAAAATGCCTACTATTGTAGCAAAAACGAAACTAAATGCGTTCCTGTACAAGGGACCGATTTCATATATTATATATTTAGCAATTTTTTTTACTATTAGACCAAAAAAAATTTTACTATTCTAGCAACAATGTTGAGTTTAGACTTTGCACAGGGAACCTTTTCCCTTATTCGAATAGCTTTAGTTAAATTATTTTACCCAAACTTTTAACCTAAAAGTGGAATAAGATTTCGTGCGCCAGCACGGAATATCACTTGTCCTTACACATCCCTCACGCTTACATACGAATGTGAATTTGGCCTGAGGAAGCATGACCGTGTGGACAGGCTTTAGTATATAACTAACTGTCACTATGTGTGTTAAACAGTTTATTAGCGTGTAAAATACAGTGATATGCGCGATGACGTTATTGAATTTAAGAGTTGTTTCAGTTTCTAAATAAATTGACGTATAAAATAATGTTTTTTATTTCCCCAAATGCGCAGCAGTTGTTACTACTCCTTAGGGCGCGTTTCCATTATGTCATGACGACAGATAGTCGTGCAGTTGATAGTGTCGTGGTTAAATGAAGTTGTCCACACATAGAACAACACGATAAACTCTTTTTGACGTTACGACGACAGACTATCGTGTCAATGGAAAGAGCTAGAATGACAGTCATCGGACGATAAATAAAACTTCACGATGAAAATGTGACGACAGATAATCGCAGCTTCAGACGATGCTGTCGTGCAAACGACAAGGTGGCTGCCGTGAACCAATAAATTGTCGTCATGATCTAGTGGGAAGAGTTAGACACGATAGTCGTTCTACAATAAAATAAACGCCCACGACAGTCATGAGTCATGACAGATAGTCTTTATATGGGAACAGGCTAGACGCGACAAATAAAACGTTACGACATAATGGGATCGCGCCCGAAATCGTTCTGTGATGTCCAAAAATATCATTGTGTCCAAAGGTAAGGCTGCTACACCATGTGAAAATCTGTTATATTTTTTAAACAAGAATTTTGCGAGAACTGATTAAATTAAGAATTATCTGGATGCAATCAGATCTAAACAAGATGGTATGGTTGTCGAAATTGAAAAATGGTGCCTTTCAGAACAATAACACTATTGTAATATTAAAATGACGCGACGTGCCGACTGAGACCAACTTTTGAGCGCGATCTAAAGCCAAAGCTATGGTGCTGCCAGAAAGGTAAGACTCGTGAACGCCTTTGCGCGGAAGGCAATTTCTATGCCGTGTACCCAGCCAACGCAAGCAAGCGAAAAACGCAAGAGATTACTAGAACTCGGTATGACTGAAAAAGGTCCAAATCCCATCTTATTATGGCACTGATCGATAACCTGAAAGTAGTTTATATTATGTAACGTGCAGTGGATATCAATTAATTCCATTTTAATATTAAGAGCTCTCATGCCAAAAAAGTTTTGACGTTGGCTCCGCCCAAATTTGTGAAACGAATATATGCCTGAAGTTCGCGTGACATGCGACAGGAGATGTTGAATTTTGCGCATTAAAAGTACCAAATTCGTTTTAGCGGAATACTCTAAAAGTAAAGGGATTAAAAAAGAATCCGTAGTGACAGTTGTCGATCATGCATTAATATAATTAATTATCTAATTTTTGTCCTAATAACCTGTAGCATTTCGAGGATAAATCAAAAATATGTGAAAATTAGAGGTCATTTCGTGATTTTTATCTATCGAGGAAACTTTATTGTCTTATGCTTCTGATTAATGTCTATGCTTGAATAGATCGTGTAGTGACTCATACAATATTTTATTTTTAACTTTAAAGTGGATATACACCTCTTAAAATCAAATCGAAGATTAGGAATTTTTCCTCGGCTCCCTCTTAAATAAATATAAGTGTTCTGTTTTTTCCTTGTAATATTAATCATGAGCTAAAATTATTTTCTGCACTTTGAGAAATATAATAATAATTAAAAATTAACGCTTGCTAACATGGGTAGATGTGCGCTAATCCTAACAAAATAATAGCTAGCAGTATCCCTGAAAATGTATGCAATAAGCGCCATCTAGTTGATTTGTTTATCACTTGAAATTAGAGTAGTTTTGATAAATTGCAGCTCATAAATGTAAAAGTAGTTAGTTACTAATAGCTACTTGGTACTCGCCGCAACATCTGGCGTAGCGCGATTAGCAGTCCTCTAAACGAATACCAGTATAAAAAACCGAACAACCTAGAAAGCTTGTTAATAGATATATCTCTCTAACATAAGGAAATAAATGCTCTTTAAAATTGACAAAAACGTTTTAATAGTGCAGCATCACAATATTTTGTCTTAAAACAACAATATAGGCATAATACTGTACAAAGTAACATTTCTACTGAACATCGAGTATATAACCAGAAATGGAGACGAAATAAGGGCCATATATTCCTGGTAACACATAAGCGATACAGCTCTTATAAATATCAACTTCCGTTTGCACGGAAATATAGACAGCCCAACTACTGACCTGGGTGTACGCCCGTATATTACAAAAAATATTCTGTATTTATTGTAATAAAGATAATATCTCTAACAATGTCGTGCTGTTCTATTCGGTGGTGTGAGAAAAACAGCTAAATATCTAATTACAAAACAAACGGAAACACATTTCATCGGTAATTAAACATTAAATATGTAATTTTGCAATTTTTGTCCATTATAGCAAAGCTCAAGTTAACTGGTCGATTTAGAAGTGAAACAATTGACGACGCCCGTCAATTGTTCCGAACTCGGGCTGGCCAATCGGAGCGCAGTTGTCACAATAATGATATGGCAGAATAGTTTTCAAACAAATTAAACATTTCGTCTCTATTTCTGGTTATATACTCGATGCTTCTGAATTTGTATAAAAAGTTACTTTCTTATGCATTTGGTTTATTGTTGCTACTAAAGCAGAAATCATTTGATATGATACTTGAGAAATGTTTCTCCAGCAACTATTTATCTTGAAGTAGACTGACTCACGACTTTCTGAGAATATTTCTTTCTTTCATTGCCTGATATCCAGTTCGAGATGACCTTCTAGGGCACGATAGTGGCCTTGATAAACAGTTCTATCATTTCTGAGTGACCTGTTTTTCAATTTTTTCCTGCTGCTCTTGTGATTGTAGCTGTTGCAAGGTGAGGAGTGAGACGCCGAGCTGGTCTTCTCGCGTGAAAGGCTGGGCCATTTGACGGAGCCAACGCTTGCAGATCTACAAGTTAAAATATATGGAAAAATAAGTAGTCAATACCACTAACCCACTATAGTACGAATCATAATTAAATGTTTAAAATGTAAAGAAATGAGATAACCGAGCAAAAAAATACATTTTAAATGGTAGTTTCCTATTTTAGACGATAATAAACGTTTAGAACTCGTTTCAAGCTGTAATCAGATAAAAGTTACAACAATTCATATTTTGCTATATATATTTTTACTTCACTTCGTTTAATAAATTAAATATAAGACAATATTAGGGGTTAAAGTATGAAATTGCCGTTTTATTGCAATAGGTTCTTTGAATTTTCATAGAATCTTCATGGTTTGAGGTTTTCGAATGAAACTTTTTTCAAATGGTTTCTGTGATTTTTTTTTTTTTAATTTGAAACATTTGAATATCGACTTTCAATTGTTTTTGTTATTCAATTTAGACAAGAAAGATGGATACTGCGAAAATTCGAGTGATTTTTGAATACGAGTTCCGACGCGGAACTAACGCGGCAGAAACAGCCCGCAATATCAATGCTGCGTTTGGAGAGGGGTCTACTAATGAACGCACCGTGCGATTTTGGTTTAAACGCTTTCGTGATGGAAATTTCGACTTAAAGAACGAGTCACGAGGAAGACCGCCCACACAGGTGAATAACGAAGAATTAAGAGAGATAGTGGAAGCCGATCCTAGTCAAACTACCCAGGAATTAGCGGCATGGTTTAACGTTACCTTACCCACAATATTGACTCACTTGCGTCAAATCAATAAAATAAAAAAATACGAAAAATGGGTGCCTCATGATTTGACTGATCTGCAGAAAGAAACGCGTGTTGAAACTTGTGTTGCCTTGTTGAACCGGTACAGAAATGAAGGAATATTGGATCGAATTGTAACATGTGATGAAAAGTGGATTATTTATGATAACCGGAAAAGAAAAATGCAATGGCTGACCCCAGGTCAAATGCCACAACAGTGTCCTAAAGCAAAACTTACCAATAAAAAGGTAATGGTAACTGTTTGGTGGTCTCAGCATGGTGTTATTCACAATAGTTGTCTCCGATCTGGTCAAGCAATAACGGCAGATGTCTATTGTACCGAACTCCGAACCATGTTGACAAAACTAGCAGTAAAACAGCCCCGACTCATGAATCGATCTTCACCATTATTGCTCCACGACAACGCGAGACCTCACACAGCACGAGAAACCATTTTGACCCTTCAGGAACTGCAGTTAGAAACCATTCGTCATCCTCCGTATTCACCAGACCTTGCTCCAACGGACTACCATTTTTTTCATGATTTGGACAATTATCTACGTGACAAGAAGTTTTCTTCCCAGGAGGCAGTACAAAATGCTTTCACACAGTTTGTGCAGTCTAGATCGTCGGAGTTCTATCGCAAAGGCATTAATAACCTTCCCATTAGATGGCAGCAATGTATAGATAATAATGGCAACTATTTTGATTAAATAAATTTGTTAAAAATTTAAAAAATAAACAATTTAGATTTTCAGTACAAATCGGCAATTTCATACTTTAACCCCTATTATTATGTTTAAGGTCGAAAATAATTTTATGACTGGTAACACAGTCGGGATCAAAAACATATTTTGTGCCGCCATTTGGTTGTGTCATAGATGTCATTCGAGCTTCTTTTTCGAAATCGAATGTTTTCTTGTCTTCGTAGTGCGTTTGTTAAATTATCGTGTATTGTTGTTTAAAGTTTTTGTTTATTGTTAATATTTTGTAATAGACAATTACATTTTGTAAGAAAAAGAGAACATCTTCCTTTTCCAATTTTTTTTTGGTGTTTTGGCTTCTGTCCCACAGAGGACAATTGTGCCAGTATCCAGGTTGAAATTTTCCAATTTCGTTAAAAAATAGAAGGTTTAGCACATCTGCGCTCGCACTTTGACAATGACATTTCTTTGTTTACATTTTGGACATCTAATTATGATTCGTACTATAGGCTCAATTTACATTGTTGCGGGAAGTAGCGAATTTTCTGAGGAAATTGTACATAACAATGAACTTTTATGTCAATTGGGTAACTCTGATCATGGAAAGGTGAAGGTGGAATTAAATCGTGCAAATATGCCAAACAATCGTGTAGTGACCTGCACAGCCTCCTCGGTGGAGAGGTTGCAGAGCGAGTCCTTGAGGTGCTCCTGGATCCATCGCGGCAGCTTGGTGCGTTTGTCGGCGCGATTGAAGCGCTTGTCCGCGAAGATCATGATGCCGTAGTCCGTTTTGCCTCTGCAAAAAAAATTATAGATCAAATTAATATTCATCTCAATCGACAAATCACGAAGAATGAAAGACAGCGTGATTGCATTGATGCTCCGATTTACCGGGAAAATATTTTTGTAAATATTGTAAATTTACAATAATAATTACCGAAAGTATATACCAACGTCTTATTTTTTTCTTTTTTTTATGATACCTATACCAAGAACGGTACGAACAAGTGCTGCACCTGGTGGTAAGTGACACCCCTATCCAATCACAAAGATCTGAGGGGCACTGCCACTGCGCCTGTCACCCTGAGACATAGTGATGATTTTTATTTCGTATAGCACTATGCAACCATAGACTATCCATACTTCTACAATTGAAAAATAACCTCATTTTTCACTAACTTTTTTCAAATACGATTTTAAGTTACTCAAGTGGATAATTCGACCCCTCCGACGTAAAGTATCGTATGTCGAAATTGCCAAGTTTACAGGGAAGCGTTTTAAAGTTCTGAATTCACTGAAACGAACATAACACGTGCCTTTAGCATTTCTCAGTTTTATTCGGCAAAACTCATTACTCACATAGAGTATTATAAAATCCTAGATATCGGTTAGATGATCTATGGTGATCACTCTTTCAGTGAATTCAGAACTTTAAAACGCTTCCCTATAAACTTGGCAATTTCGACATACGATACTTTACGTAGGAGGGGTCGAATTATTGTTGGAAAAAGTGATGAGATATCATCTGGTCACATTACAGACATATGGGACCTGTCAACTTATTCTGTAACATGTTAACTTCTATACAACCTGTCTTTTCACAAAAAAATTAATGATGTATTTAAGAGACATACCGCAGCGCTCTGCCAACGCATTGAGCCGCGTGTCGCATCGCGTCGAAGGTTAAGAAGTCGTTTTCTCGAATCTGAAATTGGTGACAAAAACAATTATTGCAATTAATACAACGATACGGTCTCGTCAGCTTCTGGTTGTTGCAAAGGTATCTGAATGAGTGAAGAGCTTTTATAAGTTCGTAATAATTATTCATACAAAGATAGAGAGAAGCCGTCAACATGCAGGAATAAACTTTAAGTTTTTTCCTGTAAGTTGGCGGCTATCGCCGAAATCACCAGTCTTTAAAACTAAACCGTAACAAAGTGTAAAATAAGATTTAAATTGACGTGAATGCTAGTTGACAGCAACCCGATAATCTTCCAGTTATGGCCCGCCATTATTAAGTCGTATTATAATATGGTTTTTTGCAAATGTGTGCGTGTATTTTGATATGAGCGAATAGATTTCATTAATGAATTGGAAGCTGAAACGATGTCGGCTTATTCGTGCTGCTGATTGGTTGAGATCCATCGGGAAAGTTTACAGTACATCGCATTCTCAAGGAATTATTAGAAATTTAGAATATAAGATTTTTAAGTGGTGAGGTATGCGTGTTGTCTAGTGAATATTTTGATAATACGCGGAAAATTTTAGGCTGGGAATCGAGTTATAAGGACGCCTCGCCACTGTTAGAGCCTTAAACATATTTCGAACTCGTACGACGCAGTGAAAGATCACTAATTGTCCCGTTCACACAGTTCCTACTGAACTAGAAAGACCTGTGACCTATTGAGATCGTGCATGAGGAAGTTCGTTTTGGTCATAATTTGGTTCGTGAACTATTTAACCCGGCGCCAATGACGTGAAAATAATTACGCCGACGGTGACGTTGGGTCATCGTGATCCGAATTTCATTGATAATTTTTTGTAAAATTAAAGTAGTTGTTTAAATTTTAACAAATACGTATTAAGTAAGAGTCGTCAAGACATATACTGAAATAAAAATAATAACAATAAATTGTATAAATAAATATTTAATTAGCGTTCTCAATAACGCGTGCAAAATCAACATTGAAAACATAATTTTGATATTTCTTTTATTTTTAGTAAAATATTCTGAATAATAATAGCAATTAATAGTCTTATATACTAAAAGAAAGGTCACTCAAACTTATTATTAGAAATTAGTCTTCTACGTCCTCAATCAGAGACGAGCAAATGCTGCAACTATTGCAGTACCTTCCCGTATGATCCGGGTATATAGGTAGTATATATAAATCTAGCATGCATTACATGTATGAGACGTTTTTTTATCCTTTTTGAACGGACATACTTGACATCTCTCGCGTGTGCCAGAGGTTGGTATGTATTGCGTAAATTTGCATCGTCCTTTGAATACCACCAACATTTCATTAATAGTGCAGTTTTCGCCCGCAGGATACATTTTTGGCATTGTTCAACAAATGCTTTGGAAAGTTCACGTATTGGTGTCAAATGATTAAATTGATGTCTGTCAGCACGCAACAAGCAGCAGGAATAAGATTAATTAATTATAAACAGTAAATAAACCAATAATGTCAGTCACAAAAATACCACGCCAGGGATGACGCTGGGTCATATTGACCCGTTTTGACTTAATGCACGTATTACTTGGCTGTGCAGATGGCTTCACACTTAGTACACCAGCGAGTCGGGTAGAGGAGGGTTGTATCTCCAGCTACTCAAACGTTGAAATCGTGCAATTGGCGTAAAACAAAAATATGCCCGTTGTAAATCGCCTCGGGTCAATATGACCCAACGTCACTGGCGCCGGGTTAAGTCTAGTTGTTAGTATACACAAATGAGCCATAAAAAAGTGAAAATGACGAAACAATAGGGAATCAAAGGCAGTCGATCCTCGCCCACCTGGAACTGGTCCCTGAGGTACTCGAGGCGCGCCTTGAGGATGCGGCTCTGCGTGAAGACGTAGGGGATGCCGAACATGAGCACGGCACGACCCAGGTGGTGGTCGAAGTCCACGCCCTCCGACACCTTGCCGCGGGCCACCGACAGCAGCACGGCGCCCCGCCCACTCTCGCACGCCTAACGAACATTGGAACGTAATTAAGTTTATTCAAGTCACGATGTTCTACTACCGTGACATTCAATTTTTTTTTGTGACATTATTGCACTAGTTTGTTATAATTGTTAATACAAAGATCGAATATTAGGAAAAATTCCATCGATTTGGCTGGATTCGAACCAGCGCCTTCCAGCAATCCGTGCTAGACGCTCAGCCGGCTAAGTCACGGAAAGAACCAGTATTAATGTTTTTCTATATTTCTATTATAAATTTTTCTATATTCTTGTTGCAGATGTTTCTTTTTGGTTTTTATTTTGCTGCTATAGATAGCTTCCCCTGATTCTCCAATGATTTCGAATTTCCATATAATCCGCCACTTTGGCCCAATGCGGGCCAGGGCCGGGCAAATGTTGAGGTTCGTTCCCACTAGTTAAAAATAATAGAACTAGCGAGAAAAAATCATTCCAAGATGGCTTGGTTCTGATTTGGTTAGGGCACATTGATTTAGTTCTATTTTTATCCACAAAATAATAAATCATATCAGGTACCTCCTTTTCAAATAATTTTTAACCGATTTCAAAAAAAATAGGGAGGTCCTCGCGAGTAGAAAGTAAGCCAATGTAACACAAAGACCTGAGGGGCACTGCCACTGCGCCTGTCATCCTAAGACATAAGTTGATGATTTTTATTTCGTACATCACTATGCAACCATAGACCATCCATACTTCTACATTTGAAAAATAGCCTCATTTATGAACTAACTTTTTTCAATACTCAAATGAACAATTATCGTTGGGAAATTGGATGAGATATAATCTGGTGAAATTACAGGCACATGGGGCTTGTTAGCTTATTCTGTTATAAGAATAATAATTCTTGAAATATAACTTAATAGAACTATTGGGACCTTTTGTCCCAGTAGGTCTACAATAGAACTACTCAATAGAATTAGTGGGAACGAACCGCTGGTGAATCTTCTTGGACTTGCAGGGTGTTTCTCTTCACCGTTAGCGAGAGAAATTTCTATTAAGCTTTCGCAAATATACGACACTTAGAAATTAAAATAAATTACCTTAATATAATTAATTAACGCGAAACTCGTCTCTGCAGAGTCTTGCGTTTCAATAAAGAGTAGTTTGTGTTTTTGTAAATTTGCCACAACACCTGCAAACAACCAAAAGCACTATTTGATTTGACCGGTTGCTAAAGACTGTCCCACAAATCAGTGTACTCCAAAAAGTCAATAAACTCATCATCATCACCCCACTGAAGGGCACGGGCTCCTCACAGGCGAAGGTTTAAGACCCCGATTCAGAACTCTTCGATATTTTAACCGCATCGTTCGATTGGATATCGTTATCCAACAGCGTTTATGGAGTTAGTGAAATAGATTATTAAGAAGAATGAAAATACTTTCATATACATTTTTAAGACTTTAAAGCCTAAAATATAGGAATGAATTAGTCTTGCCTCAAAATAAATTAATAAACTTTAATAAAATCCAGACTTTATTTAAAATAATAAGAGATTTCCATATTACATTCTTGCTTTGTAAACAATAGGATGTTCGGTAACGTTACGTTTGTAACGGGTGTGACGTCATTTCGGTTCGGTTTCGAATACGACAGTTTGACGTTCGATTCGGGTGTTGTGAATAAAAATTAAAAGAAATCGTGCGATATCAAATTGAATTGGTCGATAACTGAGTTATCGTAAGTTCTGAATCGACCCCTACAATAGTAGTCAACACTCTTTTCTGCGAATATTCTCGACCTCATGTCTTCATCCCGTAGTCCCGATACGAACTGGCCCCTTAAACAAATTTCACGTTTTCGCTAAATGTTTTAACGTTTGAAGGTAGTTTCGTACGCAATCAGCATGTTGCTGTGCTCTTTGTCGAAATATGTGTATTTCTGCTATTTCAGATCTCTCGGGTTCCAAATGTTCCTAGACCAGTTTCACAAGTTCTGCGAATGTTTTCGACTTGGGGGTATTTGGTGCACATAAGCCCTATGGCTTATTGTGGGGACTCATATTGCGCCAAGATCTATATCTTGGCGCAATATGAGTCCCCACACTTGGCACGGTTGTGAACCTTCTTGTGCATGTGCAGCTTTCATCACGATATTTTCTTTCACCGAAAAATCGTGATAAAATTTGAATTATATTACAGACAGCGGTTCTGATACTTATCGAAGCTCCGTTGGTTTTTATTCCGTGTTCAAACTTATAATTTCCCTCTTTTTGCATCAGGGGTCAAAATTGTCCAGTTGCTTTAAACATTACCTTGGTCGTACCAAGCGCCGACAACGCTCTCCAAATAAAGGTACGACGTGAAGAAACAAACTACACCATCTGGCACACACGCTGAAATCTGTAACAAGAACAATTTATTTTCAGTTTAATAAAACAAGAGGAATGTAAATAAAGGTGCGGCAAAATTGCTAACTCTTTTATGTACTTTTTTAACAAAATACATGAACTTCGTGTAATCTGTGTGTAATATGTCATCCATTACAAACAGTGCATAAAGTCCAACAACCCAGTATAAATTAATCTGAAGGTAATTAAAAATAACGGAAATAAAAAGTATAAATTTTAGGCTAAATAATTATTTAATCATGAAACAATTTTAGGAATACAGAGCTGATTTTTTTCACATGATACATAATAACATTCCTGATAACTTTTATTGTTATGTAATTTCTTGGAAAGCTGATTGTTTCAGAAAAAAAATTTTAGTTTTTTTTTGTTTGGAGAAATAAACATTTAATTTTTTATCTCGAATTGTAGAAAAATGTATTTATTTATTTATTTATTTATTTAAACACTTTATTGTACCACAAGCCACTTTATTGTAACTTACAAATTTTCAGAAACAATTTAAATATTTGTGTACAAAGGCGAGCTTATCCCATAAAGAGATTTCTTCCAACTAACCTTTGAAAATCTGAGAGGAAAGTTGGTTTTTGGGGTGGCACTAAAAATAGATAAGTAAAGAAATGAAATATACTATACTCAATAAATACACAGATAAATTTAATAAATCAAGTGTACATACGAATATATATATATTAAGTAATGTTGATACATTAATACATACAAAGTCTATAATAAATTGAATGTACAAAATAAAACTATAAATAAATATATCAAATGTAAATAAATATTTCAAAAGCTCTAACATGTGAAGTCTGAACAATCCCAAAACTTCAAAAGAGCACCCTTGAAAACCCGAACCGAAGGCGACTGTCTGACCTCGACCGGGAGAAGGTTCCACATTCGGGCAGCATTTACTGTGAACGAGTTCGAATATTTTTAGGAACTGTGTTGTGGAAGGACGAGGGACAAATTGGTGCCAGAACGCAGGCGGTCACCCATAGCCTGTATGTAAAATGTAATGTGTGGTTTATTTACAGTACAAGTCCAATTTAACTTAACTTTTTTATTTATTTTTCATTTAACTGCCTCTGTGGCCGAACGGTTACCATGCCGGACTGCCACGCAGAGGTCCCAGGTTCGATTCCCGGGCCGGGAGAAATATTTGTATGGCCTACATTTATTTCTCTCGTGAGTTTGGGTGTAATTTGTGGTTGTCTATGTGTGTCCATGGCACCCGCAACACAGGGTTTCCCTAGTGCGGGGCTATGTTGAGTGTGTGCGTTATAAAAAAAAAAAAATCATTCTCTATCAAGAAAAAAACAATCCATCAGCAGGTACTTGCGGCTTTACGAGTAAAAAGATGTCAAAATGTTAGATTTGTTATTTATTAAAAAATAAAACACAATATACTAGTTTCTACTTAACTTTCGTGTTATTGTTATAACGCTCTGTGTAATTTAGCACTAAAATTAAATTTTCTTTAGTCGAAGCTCATGTATTTTGTTAAAAAAGTACATAAAAGAGTTAGCAATTTTGCCGCACCTCTACTTACAAAGCCGCAAGTACATGCAGACGGATTATTTTTTTCTACATAGAAAATGATTGGAACTATACTGTAAGTAACCCACGCACACTACATTTTCGTATATTTTGAGATAAAGAACAAAATGTATATTTCTCCACAAAAAAAAATTATATTTTTTTTCTCTGAAACTATCAACTTTTCAAGAAATCATACAAGAATAAAAGTTGTTAGGAGTGTTATTGTCTATCACATAAAAAAATTAGCTCGATACTCCACAAGTTATTCCTATGTCCAAGAATTATCAATTTGGGCCCACTGTGCGCCACCGCAAACGGATGACAATTTAGACTTCCTTTAGGTTATACTATATTGCTCAGATTTTTATAGATACTTCCAAGTATTCTTTTATTTTGTTTAGGATTAGCGCCATCTAACGATATTCGCAAGCGTTACGTTATTAATTAGTTAACAACGAACAATGCCATCTATTGATACGCATAAATATCGAAGTTCAGAGAATAATTTTAGTTTATTACTAAATATTTGAAAAACATTACAAGAAAAATAGAATATCTACTATATTTCCTATAAAAGATGAGTTAATCGATATCCACGGCCATTTACGTAAATATAAACTAATTCCAGGCTATCGATCAGCGCCATCTAGGAATAAGACGGCATTTTGACCTTTTTCAGAGCTACGATTTTTAATATGGAGATTAGCAGTCCTCTTGAGTTATTGGTCCATGATGTGTAGTAAATAGAGTTGCAACGAATGTACGGTTATTATCCGGCCTGTTTTCTGCTATTCGGCCGAATAACGAAAAACAAAAAGAAAAATTAAGAAAAACACAGTAGATCATCATATGTATAAATTTGATTGATGCTGAACATACATTCTAGGTTCGCGAAAGCACAACTTTTCGCTTCTTTATTAAAAGATCGAAGGAAATGTAACATAACTTTGTTCCGTCCACATATGCATTCCTCTGAAGTTCCGTAATTGTTGACATACATAACCATAGACAAAAAATATAATACTTCATGGACTCTTTTATTTTTTAATTTTAGTGAAGCGACGTGCTCTTTAGCTCCGATATTTATCGAGCCAACAGATTATGTAACGAAGATTATTTAAGCTGATAAATTTTGGCACCTATCTAATAAATTATAATGAAATACATAATTATAATATACTCTTATTGTTTATTATAATAATTCGTCGGATTCTTCTCCATACGAACGGGACTCGCCACTTGAATCCTAGTTAACATTAATTATTAATTCTTGAGCACACAAATTGTCAAAAACAGCATCATGATCCCAATCAGACAATATCTTCCTTTTCGAACCCGCTCACATTCACGATTAAAATTTCTATATAAATAAAATCGACTGTTATAAAAAATCGAATCGGAAACGCATTAGGACATCACTAATTGATTAGAATTCGAGCTGTCAAAAGTTAAATAAATGGTTGGACGGGGTATAAGATATTTTTCTAAGAGATAAAAAAAGAATACATATTAAATAAAAACTAGCTACCTCCAAATTATATAAGTTTACTCGTGACTAAATAAACGCTAACAAAATCAATCCATCACTTATTATTTGCAAACCAAAATA